TAAGTATTACCGTTGGTGAGTTATTCTTAAAAAACCGAAAAAAGTCAGAAATTTTTGCAGATTTTTGACCACAGAAATTTCTCCCGACGTCAGTCGCATTGGCAAACTTGGATTTTTCTCTCTCTACCATTTAAACAAGTTTGAAAAATAAAATCTTCTACCGGACCTTTTGTAACCATTTAGCATTTTTACGTCTAATTTGACTGGACTAATAACTTAATAAAAATTTCAGGTTGCTATTTGAAAAAAAAATTTGATGATACAGACGGAAAATATTCTTTAAAAGTTGCTTAAAATGATCTAAAACGTCCACACTTGATGAAATTTTATGATGTCCAAAAAACAGCAATCGCAATAGCCACCTAGGAAGCTACTTAATTCAAAGGGCCCTGTCCAGTCATATTATTCCCAAACAGTGGCGGCCATCTGGGGAGGGCAAATGTTAATACAGTGATAGTTAGGGATCGTATTCTGTAGGGGGGGTGGGGGATATCCCTTAGAACGGGGGTCCCGAGGGTAACCACTAGAAACTCTATTTTATGCATTTACCACTAAATTTGCCACACATACCGAGTTATCCCTTAACACTTTGTCAATCAATGACGTTTCCTCCATGACCTGACAACACTGTGTCTCACAGAAAATTGCATATTCTTGAAAACAATCGCACGACAATTTTTTCAAACTCGGGAGGAGTTGTATGAGCACAACAATCTTGGCCCTTGGGAGGGGTTAATTTTCAATTGCTCCTCCCGTTGATCCGCCCCTGCTCCCAAATACTTAGGTCAAAAAGTCATGACTTGCACAAAAAACTTCATAGAACAAAAGTTGCTTAGAATCAAATCTATCCTTTCCCAGGTTTATTTTCAAGGATATATTTTTCTCGCCAGAGGAGTCGCATTCAATCTTAGGTCAGGTACAGAAAAATGAATGAATTTTTAGAAAAATCTGTGCTGTTTGGAAAAATTATACACAAATTAATAGTAAATGTACGAGGTGCTATATCTGGACAAATTGAATGTGCAGTGCTATAGATTCATTGGATGTTAGCAAATGCACTTGTACTTCTAAATTAAGACATTACTACATACTATACCTACTCAGACTACAAAGTAAAAATTGGCTTGTCAAATATTCACCTTGAAAATAAATCTCGCGCAGCTTTTCTAGCCAATTTTTCATCTTGTGTCATATTAATACACAGCTTGACATCCATATAATTATGTTCGGTAATACCCTTTCCACTCAAAAAACATGACCGTAACAATTCCGTTGCTTCGGAATTCCCTTGTTCCGACGACTTCATCAGCCAATAAACTCCCAAACGACAGTTCTCACGTTTTTCCGTTTCCAGCTCTGTAATGACAGTGTTAGTTAACTCTGCAAACAATTATCAAGTATTGGCGATTATGTATCACACTCATGGTATTATTGCTTACCACATTCCTCCTGCAACAACTGTTTGGCCAGTACCATTTGTGACTCCGCACATCCATCATTAGCCAACTGATTTCTCAAACGTTTTAGAGAACCATAGGGCCCATCTAAAAATAAATAAGTCCTACAAAAGTTTTTTCCAATAATAAGGTAATACTTCGCTAATATCAAGTAACAAATGACTTTATTTACCATGAATAGCCCACTGCTTACGAGCAGATGTCGATTTCTTTGAGGGAACAACTCCTGCCATTATAAATAGTGAGCAAAATTGTAAATAAACAAAATAGAAATGTCAAATTCTCATAAAACGTTCCGCTCATGTGCGTAATGTGTTAATTCTGTTGCTATGGAAACCGACACCAGTGGCGGCTATTCCACAAGGCCAACGGGCTCGGACACCCCAACCAATAACATTTTTTTTCGGAGATTTCCACGAATAAATGCTTACGACGATTGGTAGTTACCGTTAAAAAAAATCCCCAAAATTGAATATTTCTTAGTTAATTCGAAAGGTGAAAAGCTAATATTCGATAAATGAATCAACTACCTATTACCGCAATTTAAAAAAAACTGAAAGAACTCAGGATATTGGTTCATAACGTTTGCAATATTGTGCTATTGTTTCTTCGGAATGAATAAAAATTACTTGACACTTTTATGGATCGTTGTTGGGTGAAAACTCATCGGACACAAGAAGCTGAAGGCAATACAATTCGCAATAAAGCGAAGAATTTTACCTTTTGTTAGTGATGGCATAAATATTACACAACAATATAGGTACTAACTGGATGCAGCAAGCAGAGCTAAATTTTACCATGAACATGTATGAACTGAACAAAATGCAAAATCAGCAAATGAAGACACTATTTCCTTCATCTAAAGTGAGCCTTCCACATGTATTCGTTTGATCGAACTTGGAGGGTACACACTTGCAAACAGACTAAGTTCGAACGTGGAAGTTTTAAAGTATAACGCCTGTGTTAACTGATGAAATCAGCAGTCTAGTATTGGGAGTGGGGTGGGGGTCCTTACTCAAAAATTTAAACTTAAAAAAATGGGGCCTGGATGGAGCGGGAAAACACGAACTCCCAACACCAATGAAGTAATACTAACCTTGCAGTCGCACATGCAACCGACACTTGGACGTTTCTTGAATGATTTATCAAAAGTGCAAAACGAGTAAAAAATGCAATAAAAAATTCCATGTGTTTGTTAATCCAACTTTTGTGCGCTTTTGAATTCATTTGATTTGCATTTAGGAATAGTGGGGGTGACAACTCATTTATTTTTTTTAAATGTCAGTCCTGTGTGACATTTTACCACTCTGTGGGTCATACTACAAAACTATACATACTATTATATGATTATGTTGTTAATAAATAAAAAACATTAAATTAGATTATATCTGTATAGCAAAAAATATTTTTTCGTTAACTTTTATCTTTATGAGCCTTCAATAAAAAGACACCCACACCCACACCCTTTGAAGGGCGCCCAGGATCGGATAGGTACGATTCCACATACACAAACATATACCCAACATTTTAAATGTTATTAACATAAGTTAAAACACATATATAGATCTTCCTCTCACACTACAGAATTAATATTTCACTTAACGAGAAATTTGTTCCTTCCGAAAATGGTTTGTGTGTTTTGGAAGGTGTGCTTTAAGGCATAATTTGTTATGTGTCTCATAATCGCAATGAGCACATTTGAAATCTTTACAAACTTTATGTTTTAAAAGGTGTTGTTTAAAGTGGTATTTGTTACTTGTCTCATAATCACAATGGGCACATTTAAAATCTTTAGAAACGGTATGTTTTAAAAGGTGTCGTTTAAAGTAGGATTTATTACTTGTCTCGTAATCGCAATTAGTACATTTTAACACATTTACATTACTAGAAAGTTTGTGTGTTAAAATGTGTCCTTTAAGACATTGTTTATTGTTTGTTCCATAATTACATTGAGCACAATTAAAATCTTTAGAATCGGTATGTTTGAAAAGGTGTCGTTTAAAGTAGTACTTGTTACTTGTCTTATAATCGCAATTACCACATTTAAAGTCTTTAGAAACTTTATGTTTTAAAAGGTGTTGCTTAAAGTGGAATTTGCTGTTTGTCTTGTAATCACAATTAGTGCATATAAAATCTTTAGAAACTTTGTGTTTCAAAAGGTGTCGTTTAAAGCTGTCTTTGTTATTTGTATCATAATTACAATTAGCACATTTTAGCACTTTTACATTACTAGAAAGTTTGTGTGTTAAAATGTGTCTTTTGAGATATTGTTTAATATTTGTTCCATAATCACAATGACCACATTTAAAATCTTTAGAATCGATATGATTTAAAAGGTGTCGTTTAAAGTACGATTTGTTACTTGTTTCGTAATCGCAATTATCACATTTTAGCACATTACTACAAAGTTTATGTGTTAAAATGTGCCCTCTAAGACATTGTTTATTATATGTTCGATAATCACAATGAGCACATTTCAAATCTTTAGAATCAGTATATTTTAAAAGGTGTCGTTTAAAGTAGTATTTGTTACTTGTCTTGTAATCACAATTAGCACATTTAAAATCTTTAGAAGCTTTATATTTCAAAAGGTGTTGTTTAAAGTGGTATTTGTTATTTGTTTCATAATCACAATTAGCACATTTAAAATCTTTAGAATCCGTATGTTTTAAAAGGTGACGTTTAAAGTAGGATTTGTTACTGGTCTCGTAATCACATTTAGCACATTTTAACACATTTACATTACCAAAAAGTTTACGTTTTGCTCCATAATGATGAGCACAGCTAAAGCCTTCAAAATCATTTTGCTTTAAAAGATGTTGTTTAACATGCAGCTTACTATTTGTCGTGTCTTCACAAAAGTCACATTCAAAATCGTTGAAAATTTGAGTTTTAATATTCAATCCACAATCAGTTTGTGGATGTACTTCGTCATTATCGAGCGATTTGGAGCACTGTGCAGTAATGGTAATTTCGTCCTTTATTGTAATCGATGCTTGGTTGCTTACTAAAATATTTCCTTGAAGGTCGAAATGGATTTCTTCTTCTTGTTTTGGTTCGATTTTAATGTGCGATGTGACATGATTTCCGTCCATATCTACCATCAAACGTTATCAACAAATGTGTTACCATTACGTTTTTGTTTATTAAAAATAAACTTTGGTCAAAGAGTAATATTCTTTGCTTTGGTGTTAAACAATACAAATTTCTTACGTCTTTCTGTACAAGGTACAAGCCTACGAGTACAACTCTGGCACTTTGGTTGTAACTCAACTACCGCTAAGGGCCAACTTTCAGGTACACGAGGTACCTCATCCATAACCTATCCGACGGCGATAGCTATTCTCCCTACACTCTTTGCCCTTGTCTGTACTTGATGTTTTGATACACAGGGTAGTTGCAAAATGTCAGGACATCACTTTGGAAGTTGGTTTCATGGAGCTTGCTCCAACTATATTTACTCCAAATAATAACACAAATGCGAGATGCCAACGAAAACGGGACGGCTGCTCTTCTTGGCAGTGTCGAGATAATCAACGAACAAATCATCTGAAAATTTTTAGTGACAGTGGACCTCAGTGGACACTCCATTAGAGATCAATTCTTAGACCATATAGTACATGGTCTAAGGATCAATTATACAAATTGACATCTGCGCACAGCGCACTAATTACCTTCAAATTGTCGTTGTTCTTCACAGTCGTAAAGGGTAGATGCAGAGAACACACCCTAAAGGCATTTGAGCTTGCAAAGAATAATAATTATGGAAGTCGCCTTCAATTTTTGATATAATTATCCCACGTTAGAATTATTATCTACATTTTACTCAGCAGCACTTGTGATCCGAGTGAGGGAACAGTGTGGGCTTTGTAGTAAGTGAAAATATTGATTTACATTTGATTGGCCAATTAATTTATAAATTTCATAGTGAAAATAATTATGTCGGTGGGTGATGAAACAGAGATTAAGGTTGAACTGATTCAAGAAGAAGAAATCAATTCCTCCGTCTCAAAAAATGTCGTTATAAGGAATGAAGTTTCAGCAACAATAAAGGAAGAATTTAATGAGAGTATCGGTGAAGATTACTCTGAAATTGTGTTTTACGGAGACCAAAATCGTTTAGGACAGAGGAATCGACAACGTGCCTTGAATGTTTTTAAATGTGCCTCTTGTAATTATGTTGCTAAGAATAAAATGTACTTACAACGCCATTCCAAAGGACATTTAGTGCAGAAAGTTTCTCAAAATTTTTATTGCGGGAATTGTGATTTCTCAACAAAAAACAAATCATATTTAATACGGCACCTTCGCAAACATCGCTTTATACGCATTTCGAAAGATTTTGTGTGTTATAAATGTAATAGTTATGCAACAAATACTAAAGCATCTTTGAAACGACACCTCTTAATTCACAAAGATTCTAAAGATTTTAAATGTGACTGGTGTGAATTTGCAACAAATAATAAATCATATTTGAAACGGCACATTCAAAGGCATATTTTAACACATGGCCCTAAAGATTTCAATTGTGACATTTGTGACTTCGCATCAAACGATAGATCAAATTTTAAACGACATCTTCTAAAACACCAAGCTTCTAAGGATTTTAAATGTGATCATTGTGTGTTCACAGCAAACAATAAACAGTGTTTGATAAGACACCTCTTGAAGCATAGAGTTTCGAAAGAGTTTAAATGTGACAAGTGTGGTTACGGTACAAATAATAAATCACATTTAAAACAACACACCTTAATACACAAAGAATCGAAAGATTTCAAATGTGACTATTGTGATTATGCCACTAACATCAAATCTTCTTTTAATCTGCATGTAAAGTGGCATCTCCTAGCAGAAAATGTTTCAAAGGAGTTTAAGTGTGACAAATGTGAGTACGCAACAAATTTTAAATCATATTTTAAACGACACCTTTTAACACACAAAGCGTCTAAAGATTTCATATGTGACAAATGTCATTATGCAACAAATATTAAAGCACATTATAATGACCACATCTTAATACACAAAGATTCCAAAGATCTCAAATGCGACAAATGCGGATTTGCCACAAATATTAAATCCTATTTTAAACGACACCTTTTAGTACACAAAGATACTAAAGATTTCAAATGTGACAATTGTGATTTTGCAACAAATAACCGATCATATCTCAAACGACACATTGCAGGGCACAAAGTTTCTAAAGACTTTTATTGTGACGCATGTGGGTATGGAACAAATAATAAATCACATTTGAAGCGACACTTTGTAATACACAAAGAGTCGAAAGGCTTCAAGTGTGATAAGTGTAATTATGTTTCAAATTTTAAGTCGTCTTTTACACGTCACATTAATGGTCATGTCTTAAAAAAAACTACAAAAGATTTAAAATGTGACAAATGTAATTATGCGACAAATTTTAAGTCATATTTTAAACGACACCTATTGAAGCATGGTGTTTCAACATTGTAAATTTGGCACTTTCTGAAACATAAGCCACGTTATTAATCTCATCAACACAATTATTTAATTCGTCACAGATTTTAAATCACACCTTTTGATGAGCACATTTCTATTCATTGTTTTTTTTAAACTGTGAGCTTTAGTCATAAAATGTGTGAAGTGTATGCGCACCTTGAATTTTTAATATTTTTAGATGTGATTCTGCTTCAATTCAATAAATCAAATTTTAAACCACCTCCTACTATTTTAAATGTGATTTTACAACAAAGTTACTTGTAATGTACTTACTTATTTCATGTGATCTTCCCATTTGTAAAACCTAAATTACACGCATGAATTTTTTCTTCAATTTTAATGACTTCCTGAGTTCTCAATACTAAAGTTTCAAGATCCATGTCGATTCTAAGATCAATTTGAAGAGATCCCTTTTAATATATTCAAACTGATCTTACAATTGATACGAAACGATTCCAGAGATTATCAGTTTTAAGAACCCAATTCCAATGGGTTTTTAAAATTGGTCAAATATGCGTAACTTATTTGTTGTGTTAAAACTAACTAAACATTATATCATGTCTCTTGCTTAATTTAATTCATTTATGTGGTGTTTAGTTAACTTTATAGATAATAGAAACAAACATTGTTAGAGAATGTTTCTTACACATTTTAATTTGGAATAAATGTTTTTTTTAAAACATAATTTCTTGGTAATGTACTTAATGGGTATTGCTTGAAATTATTGTAGTGCACTTACATCAGACTCGCGTTGGTTCTCTGCACTCTAAATTAATAATACTATTCAAATTCAATCGAGAAAAAAGGAACCAATCCTCTGTGTCCGTCCAACCTTTCTTAGACCATCAGTTTCCTAACAATGAACAAAAAAATGTTCAAATATGTAGGTATGGATAAACCTTAGGGGTTGTCATGCCTTTAAAAAAATTCAATGACACAATGGAGTTGTGTGATACGTCATTTAATAGCTATTTTATATATCAAGTACATAAACTGGGTCTTTATGGACGAGTCGTTTATTTAGCCGAGCGAGTTTACGAGCGAGGCGTAAATAAAGATGGCGAGTCCATAAAGACAGTTTATGTACGCGGTATATACAAAGCTTTATGTACGATTGCAAAAATTACTCTTTAAAGAAGAAAATTTAATAATCGACATACAATCCATAATCCACTGACAAGGATGTCAAATATTTCGAAACTTAGTATCTAGTATTTTATGAAATATATGAAACGTTGAAAATGGTGATGGTATCAAAGGTTGCTGTTCTTGTTGCTAGGGTAACAACAGTTTGTTTAAAAATTTGTGCGTTTGTGAAAATTTTTGTAGTTGTGTAAAAATGGAAGAAATATCGCAAATTGCATCCGCAGCGAAGAAAACTCTTCTTCCCTGTAAATCGAGAACGGTATATGAAGAAGCTTACAATGCATACAAGAAATGGTGCGTAAAGAGAAATGTAAAAAAAACCGTTGAAGATACAATTCTGGCTTACTTTACTACCGATCTCGCGTCGTATAAAGCATCAAGCTTATGGAGTAAAAATTCCATGCTACGCACTACGATTCATTTGAACGAAGGAGTAGATATTAGCAAGTTTCCCAGTGTTATTCCGTTTCTTAAAAGAAAAGGAGAAGGATATACGCCAAAAAAATCGCTGATTCTAACGGATGAAAATGTGGATTCCTTTTTATTAAGCGCTCAGGATGAACACCATTTGCTAAATAAGGTATGTCCGTATTTTTAGAGGCATAATTTTTGAAGATATGTTTTAAGGTAATTCTTATCTTTGGAGTGGCGGGTGCCTGTAGACGCCAGGAATTGGTTTTTTTGCAGACGACAAATGTTGAAGATCAGGAAAAACATTTTCTAGTCAAGATGGGAATCATCGATACGAAAACCAAAAAAGATAGATCGTTTGTCATATTGCCAGGAAAACACAATTTACTGCACATAATTAGAAAATACATAGCCATTCGTCCTAAAGTAACGTCACACAACAGATTTTTTATCAATTATCAGAATGGAAAGTGCACGGTTCAACCTGTAGGGGTTCACAAAGTTGGTGGTGTTCCCAGTGTGGTGGCTAAATTCTTGAATTTAACAAATGCTTCTTCCTACACGGGCCATTCTTTTCGAAGAACTTCTGCAAGTCTTCTGGCAAATGCAGGTGGAAGTATGACTGACATCATGCGCCATGGAGGATGGCGCTCGGCTAGTGTCGCGGAAGGCTACGTCGAAGAGTCGGAAATGACAAAAGTCAACGTTGCGACGAAAATCCTAGGCGGAGCGGGTCCTTCATCTCATCGTAAAGAAATCGAAGAAAGACATCAAATGAGTGGACAACTCTTTATAAAGAACAATGTGGATTGCGTGATTAATATTAACAATTACTACGCGAATAAGCACTCCCCGAAGTAGGTGTTTCTTCAGGTGTTTCGCATTTATATTTATTTTGATATGTGTAAATAAATTATTTTGACAACCGACCACGTGACATTTGTTTATGGCCGCCGTCCATAAAGAGCATATACAGGGTGATTCCTATAGTACCTGCCACCGTATGGGAGCGTATATTGGGTGCCTAGGGGAGTATTTTGATATAGGACACTTGGGGTCGGAAATCTAAAATAAGGGCGCCAGAACCAAATTTATCTTCTGGAATTTCACGCCTGTATGTAGGCAACCCAACCGACCGACGTTTCGCGCGGAGCGATGCAGAGCGAGTTAGCGCGAGGAAGCGACATGGGAGGGAAGGAGGGAAAGCGACAGTCAAAAGCAAAACGTTTACAAGTGTTCAACGTGGCCACCGTTGTTCTCAATGCACTTCCTACATCTAGCCAACTATTATTATACTATTGCCATAGTGTTTATTCACTTGATACGCGTCGTTGCAGACGGGATTTCGTGGGTTTAAACAAAATTCTGATCAAGTGTCAGCCACACATCGCCGCCTGAGATCGCTCCGTGTGCACCGCCGGCCGGTTGGGTTGCCTACCTACAGGCGCGAAATTCCAGAAGGTAAATTTGGCTCTGGCACCCTTATTTTAGATTTCCGACCCCAAGTGTCCTATATCAAAATACTCCCCTACGCACCACCTACACGCTCCCAAACGGTGGCAGGTACTATAGGAATCACCCTGTATATATATACTTCTCTTATATATATGATAAAGAGCCACTTTATGGCCGCAAAAGAATATCATACTACAGTATTGATTATTATACAATCGGACATAATAGTATTTTACATTATTAGCCAGGTAAGTGAGGAGATGACAGGCTCGCCAGTCAACTTCTCCTATCGCCAGTAAAAACTATTACCTGGCGTATAATGTACAATATTTTATTTGTTACTCATTTGTAAACGTAAATAATTAGTTCTTAAATTGATCTTGAAGAAATGTCTAAAATATCATGTGATCCATGTAACAGAGACTTTGCATTAATTCTGGCCAATGAAATTACTAGATTACTAACTTGTAAAATTTTATGAAAATTTTTACAGGTCTGCTGTCAGTTTTACAAGTCTGCTGTCAGTTTTACAAGTCAGTAGCGTTTAAACATGACGTTTACCCGTTTGCGTTTTGTCTTGTTAATCAACGTTTCTATGTTTCGCATTTATAATGTCGTTGTTCTGATTCGGATTATGATGATAGAATGAACTTCATTCTAGCACGATTTTTGGTAACTTTTCCATTCTAACACGATTTTTGGAGGCTTGTTTTGTTTAGGAATTGGTATCCCTGTTATGTGTGACAGCCAACAAAACGTCAGCACAAGAGTACGCTTTATACTTTGTATGCTCGTGTTCTGTGGTAAAGTTAAAGGTGGTTACTTTTTTTCACACTAATATCAATGTTTATTCATTAAACAAAGCTCATATAAAAGGAAAAATGCACACGCATTACGATTTATTATTAAATTACACCAATAAAGTCATTAAACAAGTTTGCATAAACGATTTCTTAAAAATGTGCTAAAATGAAATTATCTAACCCCAACCTAACTTTCGTTCTTAAAAGAACAATTGTTATAAATTTTAACAGTCACCGTGGAATGTTCACCTGCATTTATAGTAATTCCGGGGACATTTTGTAACGAGTTAACAGTGGTGGATTCGAGGGTGGATTGTTTTCCGCTAGTAACAGTACATGGTTTCGTGGAGGGTCCAGCTTGAGGTTGTTTGGATTGAGTAGTCGAAACCGAAAGTAACTCTGCGACTTCAATTCTTTTTTTTTTAGATTGATCAACGTAACCCTCTGCTGTTGAGGAACTTTTCCACCCACCATGTTGCTTCAGTGTCATTATATCTGCACCATTGTTCGCCAAGTGTGATGCTGATGATCGGCGAAAGCAATGCCCGGAATATTCATCGCAGTTCCGCAACTTGAGATATCTTGCAATAATTCGGGGCATCTCGCCTATTTTGTTCAAACCAATTGGTTGCACCGTGCAACGTCCTTGTCGATAAAATATGAAAAACCGTTTGTGGGTTATATGTACAGGTCTTAAGCAAGCATACTCCTTGATTAAGCCTATCCACATTGCATTTGTAATTGCAAATAGCCTTGGACGTTTAGTTTTGGTTTTTGGTACCGTCACAAAAATTGAATCGGACTTGTAGTCTATATCATCCGTAAGCAAATTTTTTAGTTCCTCCCGCCTGCATGCTCCGGAATAACCAATTATTAGAATTACCTATAAATGTATCAGTGTGTAATTGTTGATTGAAAATTAATAAAATTACCTTCGCTGCCAAATACTCTGTGTTGGGTGCTTCATTAATGAATCTTTCTAATTCAGGATATTGTAATATTTTAAACTTCTTTGCCTCATATCCAACTGATTTTCGTCTTAATAATGCCTGCAGTTTCATAAATTTAGAAATATCAATATTCTCTCGAACATTCAACATAGATCGGAGCATCGAGTAATTCTTCCACAACGTAGAACTTTTGTAGCTCTTGCTCATTATTGTAAAGAATGCTAACAAAACATTTTCGCGTATCACTGTCACGTTTTGTGCGCCACACCAATCTTTAAATTTTAGGTATTCTTTTTCATACTCTCCTTTTGATTTTGTCGGTAACAGATTATCGACCGCTTCTTCGGCTATTAAGTGTAGTTCTGGCGGAGTAGATGAAAAGGTTGTCTCAGACATTGCAAATTTTACCTTCGTGTATCTATTTTCAGGCGCAATAACGAAAAATGTTAAAATTTAGAGAGACTAATTTAAACATTTGAAAGATGTACGCAGTGCTGCCAACTTTATTTTGACGCGGCAATATTTCTATTTTAAACTAAATACATACTTTTTTATAAATAATAATTAAGGGCTCAACATAGAAAATAGTATAAAACGTTCGTCACAGAAGGCCTTCTATCACTCGTTCATTCGAACCTTCGTCGCTACGTGGCTCAGGTTCGAAACTTGAATTCGTGCTAGAATAGGCCGCCTTCTGCAACTTATGTTTTAATAATACTATTAGAACTGAGTAACAAATAAAAGGGTTTTAATTCTCTAACCAAATCTAGCTTCACCCCCCCCCTGCCCCATTAAGTTATATAGTGCTTGATACATTGTAGGTAGAAAGAGGAGGGTAAGTACGCACAAACGCAAAATGAATTGATAACGGTGGCTTTGGCGACGGGCCGCTTGCAGCAAGTTAAAACACGTGCTGCACCCTCATTGGTCAAAACGGCCAACCGTTGACAGCGTGACGTCCCTGGCCGCAAACGTTTAAAAACAGAGCTCCGAACTCTGCAAAGCAATTCCGGCGCTTCAAAAAACAACCACAGCTCTCCGGTTGCAGAACCACCTTGCCAACTCGACTTCCCGCCACGCTCCACTAGCCAGGAAGACCCGCATTCGCGCTCGCTCCAACGACAGCGCTCACCGCGGGCACTTCGGCGGCCATTTTGTATATACAGGGTGGTACCTTGCGTAACGCATCATAGGGATTTCAATGTAAAATTCATAACATGCGATTATTGGCTCCCCAAATTATTTTAGAGCAAAAATGTATTAAGGTTTTTTGTAGAAAAAATTTTTTTACTACAATCAACCGTATTAGTTTTCAATTTTTTGCATAATAAAGACGGAAAATTGGAAAAATAAAACCCCCATCTTTTTCAATAATCTCTGACGTCATGGAATTTCATAATACAAAAACTACCCCAATATCCGTCATGCCATGGAATGTCTGCTATAAAACAAATCAAATTCTATCAAAAAGTATTATATTTAGAACAGCGAATTCAACTTAAAGAAAGGCCAAATTACTAAAAACGGTTTCCTAATACATATAACAATTTACAATAAATGTTCGAATAAGTCACCATTAACTGCAAGACAGTAACCAAGTCGATCATAAAATCCATTTCGATCTGCTGCTAATTGATAATTGGGTATCTTTTTGTTTTAGAAAATTCCACGGCATCGCAGATTATTGAAAAAGATGCGGGTTTTATTTTTCCAATTTCTAATTAATATGAAAAAAAATTTGAAAACTAATACGGTTGATTGGCGTAAAAATTTTTTTTCTACAAAAAACTAATACATTTTTGCTCTAAAATAATTTGGGGAGCCAATAATCGCATGTTATGAATTTTACATCGAAATCCCTATGATGCGTTACGCAAGTCACCACCCTGTATATTGTAAATATATTCCATAAAACGCAACATTTTGCGTCGCCTGCCAAAGTCGCAGATGCGAAAAAATTACCAAAAAGTTTCTGAACAAACTAGAAAATTAGGTAACTTCTCATTTTATTAACTTATTATTTTAATTAAAATTAACTTCTTATTTAAAATCTCGAAAAAAAGTGCCGGGGAGAAAATGGAACATGACCAATGGTGTAAGCCCTTCAGCTTAACTTATATTCCAAATTTAAGCATTAAATAAATAAAAATGAACCGGAAAATTGTGAGAATTTCGATTGTTTATGCGGCGGAATGCAGGAATGAATGTTACATACTTCTTTAAGCTGTTCGCACGACTCTGAATGCTCCACCTATAAATCAGGAGACATGAGAGAGTACTATTCCTTAGTTATGAAAAGTACAAAAGAGCGTGCTCCAATCGAATAAAAGAACAAAAAGGAGCTTTTGGAGTGCACTTTATATACTCCGATCTCAATGCCGAACGTACCCTGTATAGTAGTTATAGTGTAAAGCCTTCTTTAGTGTAGATAACCGATAACTTTCTGGGCATGCGTATATGGGAACTTGTAGTGTTTTTAATTCCACATGTTTTGTTTAAATAATTATTACAAATTTTTAAATAAATTATAATGGTAAGCACTATTACAACATAGATATGGTCGTATATGTTTAAAAAGTGAAAGTTTGTAACATACGACTTACTCGTAAAATAACTCGAGAACATTTGTTTGATTGATTTAACCCCACTTTTTTTAGACCCAGTTATATGTGCTCTTCGAGCATGCCGCTGGCTATGGCATATTCAAAGTTAAAGAGTTCGAAGAAATTGGAATGCTGTTACCGCAGGTGGAAGCGTCAATTAGTGACTTATCAAGATTTAACAGCGTCGTGAAGCTGGTGGGGTTTTCTCCGTTTAAAAGTGCCGTCACTGCACTCGAAAGTATCAACGCTATATCGGAAGGTCTCCTTCCAGAAGATTTAATGCACTTCATAGATATTACGGTACCTAAAAGTGGTAAGAAAGAAAAAGTTTGTTTGGGCGTCTTCGACCCTAAGCTTGGGGCTGCCATCACCGAGGCTTTAGGCATTCAATGTAACCATGTGGGTGCGGTTCCTGAGATTCTCCGAGGTATTCGGCATCATTTTCCTAACCTTGTAAAGGGTTTTACTTCGAAAAGTTCCGCAGTTGCACAGCTTGGTTTGGGTCATTCCTATTCTCGTGCGAAAGTGAAGTTCAACGTGAACAGGGTTGACAATATGATCATTCAATCGATTGCATTACTTGATCAGCTGGATAAGGATATTAACACTTTTGCGATGAGAATAAGAGAGTGGTACTCCTATCACTTTCCAGAATTGGTAAAAATTGTTCCAGAAAATTATATGTTCGCTCAATTGTGCAAGTTTATCAAGAATCGTAAAGACCTTACACAAGATTCTGTGGAAGGATTGGAGGAGATTGTTATGGATTCGTCCAAAGCACAAGCCATATTAGACGCATCACGATCAAGCATGGGCATGGAAATCAGTCCCATCGATATGATTAACATTGAAATGTTTGCTAGTCGTGTTATTGCATTAGCTGATTACCGCAAACAACTTTCTGAATATTTAAAAACAAAGATGGGCGATATTGCTCCTAATCTAGCCACCTTAATCGGAGATCTTGTTGGGGCAAGATTAATAGCGCGAGCGGGCTCTTTGACAAACCTTGCCAAGTATCCGTCTTCAACTGTACAAATTTTGGGAGCAGAGAAAGCATTGTTTAGAGCTTTAAAGACCAGAGGCAACACCCCAAAGTACGGACTTCTATTTCATTCGACATTCATTGGACGGGCGGCAGTTAAAAATAAAGGTAGAATTTCCCGATATTTGGCGAACAAATGTTCAATCGCTTCAAGAATCGATTGCTTTGCCGAGCAACCCACGAATATTTTCGGAAATAAACTCAAGCAGCAAGTGGAAGATCGACTTAAATTTTACGAGACTGGAGATATTCCTAAAAAAAATATTGATGTTATGAAAGAAGCCTTAGAAGAAGTTCAGTTGGCTACGAAAACGGAAAAGAAGAAAAAGAAGAAGCGTAAATCGGAATCGAATCATGTATCAAATGCCACCAATGGATCTGTTGCAGAGGAAACGCAGAATTCCGATGAACCGCCCAAGAAGAAGAAGAAAAAGAGTAAGAAACAGAGCGAGAATCAAAATTGAGGTAGTTTCATACTTTTATTTTTAAAATATCTATGTAGTTTGTAAGTTTGTTTATTTGTGGAATTAACGATTAAGCGGAAAAACAAAATTGTAACATTCTTGAAAAATTAGTAATTAAAAACATTATGTTAAATTATGTTTTACTAAATTTGTCAATACAATTAGTGACGAGGATGGTGAAAAAAATGTCCAAGTGGTAACGCCTAAAGTTTCAACTGCAACTTGAGATGGTTGCACTGAATTCAGAAATGCTAAAAGAAACTGATATTGAAGAAAGTCGATACGAATTCCTTAATTGTGTCTGATTCAGGGAAAATATGCAGTCATACTTAAAACTCATTGATTTTCATAACCGAGTGCCAAAAAGGCATACATAAGTTTTGGGCAGTATTCAAAACGTCTATAGGTCTGAAGAAATGTTTTAGACTTTTAGATGCCCTACCAAGGATATCTTGGTGGAACACGTCATATTTCTAGGAAATATTACGTCACATCCGCCTTTGTTCTTTATCGCGGATGACTCATCTTTCATGGCGCTAGAGCTCTATCGAGATTTCACCTAAGAACTTTGCGTAACCTGTTACTTATTTCGGTGCAGGTGGTTACTTTATCAAATCTGTAGATCAGAGTTTGTTAATTGGCAATGTAGGCCAAATAATAAGCAAGGCTCTTCTGACATCTCCGTTATGAACTGAATTGCATGAAATTTAAAATGAGCTTTAGCCACATAGGACGCAACCCACATATAACTCTCGCCAGGAAAGATTGACGGTCACAGAACACTTGATCCCGATCTACAATCTCTGTTTTTCGTAACGTGCTAGCGACTTCCGGGATAGTATCGTGTCAATGTTGAACGAAAAGACTTTTTGTTCAACATTAGCACGAACCTATTCCAGAAAGCGCTCGCATCTTAATAAAAACAAAGATTGTAAATCGACACAAGGTGTGCTGTGACCGGAAATCTTTCCTGGCGAGAGTTATATACACAATTTATAACAGCGCGAACTATTTACTACTTACGCTTTAAAATTAAAACTGAACTAAAGACGCAATTTGACTTGGTACCAAACGCCCCCTCTTTCTCGATAGATTTCGA